GATACATCAATATCCATAAAAGGAATAAAAATGTACATCTCAAATTCAGGACAACAAAAAACCAAACTTGGTCAATTAGTTTCTTCATATCATTCATTAGGACCACAATTCTTGTTTGCTGGTAGGTTTAAAGTAGGAATAAAAAGTCTTTGAAATCCTTTTAACTTTCACTAGTTTTAGGGCCTCTAGGTAGGAAGGAGGTCTCACTGGAAGCAATCTGATTAAGCAGCACCATTAAGTCCACATCTCAACAAATCACTGCACAATTCTTACCTGTCAATATTCTGAAAGGTTAAAAAAAATTATGTGGAAGAATCTTTCCTGAATAGCAGTCCACTATAAAAATATGTAACCTGCAGGAATTTACATAAAACTACATCTGAATTCTCTACTGGCTGTATCTTTCTTTCTATGAACAAAAGAAATGCATTGCATAAAAATTTAAATAACATAGTGAGGCATAAAGTAAATACTTTTATTTATGCTATTACATTTGTGTATTGGAGATTGTTAGACATGTTCACATACTCTTTCCTATTCCCAAAGATGAAGCAATGGTGCCAGCAGTGTCTATCAGAAAGACTTGATAAGAAACTTGATCTTAGAGCTACTCTACAGTATGCCTTATTATTTTTAAACATATATTGAAAAGACAGGGAGAAATAATCTTTTTTTTTTCACATGACCCGGATTCTGTTACCAATCAATGTAAGCATTAATTTCATCCTCATGAAACAGAATGGAAACTGTTACGGTCCTGTAGCCATGGATAGTCTGAAAAATTTTCTGAGCCAGTGAATGAAAAACCACATTAAAATAAAATTTTCTACAACTGGTAAACCAGTTGTTCAAAAATTCAACAAGCAAACAAACATGCAAACAAGCAATACATGTTAATACCCTGTAAAAACATCATGCCACTCTGGCCCCAAGAACTGCCACAGCCCAGCTGGTTCTTACAATGCAAACAGCCTTAAATCACTAATAAAATATCTTCTCTGTGGTATTTTACTGTCCATCATACTGCTACATACTTAGAAGCTCAGGCTTATATGATGTTTGAGGAAACAAAAGAGAGTATGACGTGGATCAAGTTTTTGATTATTGTTTTAATTATATTTTTAAAAAGGATTTTCTAGTAATGTAAAGTGTAATAGTCCTTGATACTGAACTTTTCCTACTTTAAAAAATGATGTTAATCTAAATTTGACTATCTGGTCTCTTTTTTCCACTTTTTTAGAGGGTACTGATTCATCTATTCTGAGTCCCAAAAATGGCTGTTTTAAAACAGTTTAGTTCCCAACAGGTTCCCATAAATACTCCTGATTTATATCGGAAAAGCAATGCATAATTGGAACATTAATCACTCACCTTTTAAAAAGTATTTCCTGCAGTTACTTAGCAAAACGCTAAGCTACCCATGGCCTTACCAGATAGATATTGAGTTGTTTCACAAATATCTGTTGAAAGGTTTAGAAATTGGACCTTCCATTCAAGATTCACTGCAAAGAGTATACATGCAGTAGTCCTGTTTACAATTTAATGGAGACGAGGAAAGAAAAAACCTAGGATAAAGAGGGTTGTCATCTTTCACATACATTTACAGTAGTATAGCCATTATTTATCATATTTACTACATTCACCACCTCAGGTAAAGCATCAGGGAGGACCATCAAACACTGCAACAAAGGAATGTTTGTTTTATATAAGACCTACCAAATAAACTGCAAAACAAATAACACACATAGGCACTAGTCTCAAAGCTGCACAATAAAGAAGCTAAGAGTCTGAGGTGAGAAATTGAGGAAAATATACACATATGAGGTTGCTGAGGAAAAGGAGGAAAGAAATCACAGTTCTAATCTTCAAGGCTACGGAATGCATTCTGCATATCTTCAAGAAGTTGTGCATAGTCGGCTTTGATCTTTGCCTCACCATCTTTCATTGGATCCTTGAATTTCATGGAGGAAAGTTTGTAGAGTATCTCCCCCATGTGCTCACGGATAATAGACCATGTGATTTTATTGTCACTCTGGGCAGTGGTCTCAACAGCTCTATGAGCCATGTCATAAAATGCAATCATGTTTGACAGCATTCCTGCTGTCTTGTAGAATGGGCAGAACCTGTCATAAGGAGTATATTCATTTTGTTGCAGGAAGTCATCTTTGATAAGTTTTGCTACCTCTAGAGTGATTTTATCGGTTTCTGCTAATGAAGCCTTTCCCACAAGCTGTACAATTTCTGCCAGGTCTTCTTCCTGCAGAATTTCCTTAGCTTTGGTCCTCAGAGGAACAAACTCTGTGAAGTGTTCGTGATAATACCATCCAAGGCCCGCATGTATTTGGTGTAGCTGATGAGCCAGTTGACTGAGGGGAAATGCTTACGTTGAGCCAGTTTCTCATCTAAACCCCAGAACACCTGAACAATACCAAGAGTAGCAGATGTAACTGGATCAGAAAAATCACCACCAGGTGGAGAAACTGCTCCTACAATGCTGACGCTCCCTTCTCTTTCAGGATTTCCAAGACACTTCACTCTGCTTGCTCGCTCATAGAAAGGGGCCAGACGGGCACCAAGATATGCAGGATAGCCACTATCTGCAGGCATTTCAGGTAAGCGACCAGAAATTTCTCTAAGGGCCTCAGCCCATCTGAAGGTAGAGTCAGCCATCATACTGACATGGTAACCCATGTCACAGAAACATTCTGACAGTGTAATTCCAGTATAAATAGAGGCTTCTCTAGCAGCAACCGGCATATTGGAGGTATTGGCTACCAAAGCTGTCCTCTTCATAATTGACTCTACCTTACCATCAACTTCCATAGTGAGCTCTGGGAAGTCCCGGAGAACTCATTCCTCTATCACCACATCCTACATAGATGATCACATCACTGTTAGAATATTTGGACAGAGACTGTAATATTACTGTCTTTCCACAGCCAAAAGCCCCAGGGATAGCAGTTTTTCCTCCCTGTACACACGGAAAAAGGGCATCCAAGACTCGCTGGCCAGTCAGCAAAAGATGGTTGGCTGGCAGCTTCTTGGTGACAGGCTGAACTTGACAGACAGGCCATACCTGGACCATGTTGAACTTCTCCTTTACACCTTCAAATTCAAGCTCCAAGACTACATCAGAGGCATCATAATTCCCAGGTGGAGCAATGTAAGTTACAGTTCCTCTATTTCGGGGAGGTAACATGATTTTGTGTTTGATGAGTGAGTTCTCATTCACAATTCCATAAATATCTCCACCAGCGATATGACTGCCAACCCATAAGTTTTTGCACGGTGTAAAATCCCATTTGATATCTCTGCTAAGGGCAGACACATTTACTCCTCTTGGGATGTAGATACTTTGGGTTTGATTCCTGATATCCAACAAAGGCCTTTGAATACCATCAAAAATGGCTCCCATAATGCCAGGACCAAGCTCTACTGAGAGTGGTTTACCAGTGCGGAGTACAGGGTCTCCAACAGACACACCAGAGGTTTCTTCGTACACCTGAATAGTAGCCATATCACCTTCCAACCGAATAATCTCTCCAACCAACTCGCTGTGGCCCACTGTCACCAGCTCATACATGGCTGCACCTGCCATGTCACAGGCTGTAACAGCAGGTCCTGAGACCCCACGCACATAACCAAATGTACTTTCTTTCTCTTCATCAAGTATCTTGGGTAGTTTGGAGAAATCCATTATGTTAATTTACCTATGCTGCTGAGACTGGAAAAGCAGACCATTTTGTTGTAACTTTTAAGTCTTTGGTAGACTGTTCAGCTATTACTACTGAAAAAGACGTCATGGGGATTGATGGTCAAACATGACTAGAAGATGGTTAATGTCAGAATCACAGAAGCAGAAATTCTTCAAGGAGGGGAGGAGGTCTAGGAAATGCCCAGTAAGCACAGCCTCTCAGGCATTGGGTAAAATAACCACAATTTGGGGGAGGTAATGATGTGCCAATGCTTGAACTGAGCACTGTATGTGGAGGAGCTGGGAAGGAGGAAGAAGAAAGGGAATCTATATACTCAAAGTTCAAAATGTCATTGACAAATAAATGTAATATTCAATGGGAAGATGCCAAAAAGAAAAGTCAAATCCTGAAAAAAGACCAAAAATATGGCAATTATAAATATCTCTAGAAACCAAGTTTATCTTGTCCTCCATTATGCCTGAACACCTTCTCTAAATAGTACTGTACTTCTATCATCTGGGAAAAATATTTCTCTGTTTCATATTAAAGATTAATGACGGCCCTTTGGTAATCTTCTGTACCATCCATTAAAATGAAGCCTGAACCAACACATATTTTAAGGGCCTACTTCTATTTTGGTAGGCATGGGAGAGAGGCAATCGACACACTTCTCATCATAGCTTTTGTGTTAAACCTACGTTCAGTTACACACAGTAATGGAGAAATGAGAAAGTCTAACTTTAAAATCTATAAAACTTATCAGAGATTGAATAATCAGAGATTTAAACTTTTTACCATCAAAATTTTCTTATCAGAGCAATTGAAATGTAGTAGCATTAATCAACTTGAATTTCTACCTTTTATTTTCCTGAACTTACTTTTGCTTAAAGGTTTGAGTAAAAGGAAAATATCAAGGTGGCCTATATGAAGATTGGAAGAAGGAAAAGTGAAGCTTTGAAAACTGTGAACTAAATTCATTCATTAAAGAAAAAAAAAACAAATAAAACACTGAGTTTCCAATATATTTCAGATACATGCTAGGAATATAACAATGAACAAAAATATATAAACTCTGTCAAGAAGCCTACATTCTAGCTAGGAGATAGATAAATGAACTAGTAAATAAATGATGCATCAGATAATTTTTGAGTAGCCTGAAATTGTCTTTAAATACTCTTTTAATTAATCTCTTAACCTTTACTTTCCCTGGCTAATTAAGTCAAATTATTTAACTTCAGTCAACAAAGCCTTGTAAACAAATCACAAGCATAATTTTATTGTACAAGTGAGTGGATGCTCTGTTACCTTGAGTTGGTAGTATATTTTCTTCAGTGTATATGCTTCCTCTTCTGTTTTGGGAATTAGTCTTATCAGCTTATCACTATAAAAAAGGACAAAAGGTAATATTTACCTTTCAAGAATAAAGACATTAACCATCATTTTTTTCATCTCTTAAGAAACAGCCTTTACATTTAAGAAAAAGAGTAAAACTTCACTGACAGGTAAGCATTTTATATGGTTCTTGTTATTCTGTGGTTATATTAGGTCTGTTTTCCTTGTCTTAAAACTAGCGTTTTATCAGCTTTTGAAGATTACAAACTCACATGTAATGTAATAAATGCAGAAAGAAGCTCAAAACACAAGAACAGTGGCAACATGGGACAGAAGCTTTCTTGAATAGCTTACATCAGATACTAAGAAAGAAAATTCCTAATGACAGAAGAAAGAAAATCATTTTTTTTTACAAAGTTAGATAGTTGCTCTCACACTGAGGTATATCCCAGACTTCATTCTTTTTAAAAAATCTAATGACGAAAAGGAAAGCAACTTTCAGAGAGAAGACCTGCAAAATCCATACACTATGGAAAACATCTGGTTTGGATTCTTCTCACATGGAGAAAAGTAAAGATAAAGCCTATCTTTGGGACATTTTACTTCTGATCCAGGTTTCTAATTTGGCATGAGGTGGGCTGAGTAGTGGGGTGGCAAACAGTAAATCACCATATATTTACAGGTTTACCATGAGATGTTGATGGGTATACAATTTTTAGAATGATGGAAATTTAAAATCAACATTTACAACCAATAACATTTACCACAGTTGGAATTAACATTTTACTACACTATAAAGGTTCTTTCTGTAAAGGTCCTAAACTGCTGAAGATGACTTGAAATACTGGCCTGTTTGCCAGAGAGTTCTCTGTGGGGAATCACCTCTTCCAGATTGCCAGACAAGTCTTACCCATTTCCAGTGCCTGAATACACAAGTTAGGGAGCACAACTCTAGCACATAATAAAATAATTATAATTTTTCAATGTGTTTTACACAGAGGAGATGCTTATCATATATTTACTGTGGAAGCTGGTCACAGTGGTACCTGCCTGTAATCCTAACTACTCAAGAGGATCACAAGTTTGAGACCATCCTCCTAGACAACTTAGTGAGATGCTGTATCAAAAAAAAAAAAAAAGGTTGAGTATCAGTGGTATGTATAGCACTTGGGTATCAGAGGCTCAGTGGTATGTATAGCTCTTGCCTAACATGTGAAAGACCCTCAGTTCAATCCCTGGCACTAAAACAACAAAACAACACACACACACAACACACAAAGGTTGGCATAAAGGAAATGGAAAAACTAGTAAAGTACAATAAGAATGAATATTTTTCATAACTTTCGATGGCATTTAACAATGACTAAAGATAATGTAGAGTAATATATAGAGACATATACATGTGCAAGTATGTATGTCTATATATATTTTTATCAGAAAACAAAAATTCTATCAGTTCATTCAGAATTCATTTCTCCAGCCCTAAAGGTACAGCAGGAATAAGGATGTAATTTGGATGCTTTGCATGGATTTATGTATTAGAAGAATAGCAATTTCTGAGATCAGACAAGGCAATTGTAGAGGGCATCAGACCCCAGGGAGACTTCTGGATTTATTGGACAATGACTTTTTAGGGCTATGTGTTTACTTCTAGTCATTTTAATTTTAAAATTTCAAATGATGCCATTGTACTTTCTTTTCTATGAATGAAAAGGCCATTGGCTTGCTGGCAATAATTTGGTATGCTTTAAGCACTATTCTAATTATAGCTTTTCAACTTTGGTTTCCTCAAATCACACAAAACTGCCTCTAGTAACCAAGTCACAAAGTCCATATTTCTCAAAAGAATAAAAGAAGGAGATAAAAAAATCAAGACACTGTAAAACAACTCTCAATATAACTTTAAAATTGTCACATTTGTTTCACCAAACGAAAGCGTATTCTTTCTAACTCTGATAACTAGTATTTTTTGAAGCAGGGAACAATAATTTGGTACTATGAACAAGGAAGTTTCAAATGGTAAATTATCTTCTGGAAGTTAAGAGAAGAAACCTAGCTGGCGCAACTATCAAAGAAAGTGAACTGAGGGATTTTCTTCACAATTTACCAGGTTTTTTCCTTCTCCTTTCATTTCTGGTACATATTTCTCTGACCTTTGTTTTATCTGGCTTCATCATATTCTGGCCTTGTCCCACCTGATCCAGCACAAATTTTGGCAGAGAAAGAAAACTCAGCTGGGTGATGTAGCTGTTTTTGATAGATGGATCACTTGATGATTTGCTGGAAAATACCTCCATCTGGGGCCTGTGAGCTCCTCAAGAGTGCAAGGGAAGCAATCTGTAGCTGTTTTACAGCCACAGGAAGATGGATAATTCAGCCTAGCAAATGGTTCTTTTTCTCTAATTCAGGATATAAAGGACCACCCTGAGATTATTTAACCCTGACAGTGATTGCTCAACCTCTGCTTTGTCATTTTCATCAGAAAGAGGTCGCTTCACTCTACCTTTTAGAAATTCTTGGGTGTGGCTTTAGAAATGTATCTGTTATTGCTTTGATTATTTATCAAAGGCCAGAGAGTAAGAAAAGCTATTTAGGAAAATTCATGAAAGGTCACTTTTGTAAACAATAAATTACATTGATGGAACGACTGGTAACCATAATCAAACAAGAACTTATTCAGTACAAAAAATGACATGATCTCAAATGCCCAATTTGTTTCACCAAACAAAACCTTATTCTTTCTAAATCTGATAGCTAGTACTTTTGAAGTAGGGAACAATAATTTGGTACTATGAACAGGGAGGTTTCAAATAGTAAATTATCTACTGGAAGTTAAGAGAGAAAACCTACTTGGGCACAACTATAAAAGGTGAACTGAGGGATTTTCTTCACAATTTACCAGGCTTTTTTCCTACTCCTAGATGACATAAATTAAGACCCCTGGGCTACCCTTTGGGATTAAGAAGAGAGAATCAAAGGATTTAATATACATTGAGGTTAGGAAAGGAAAGAAGGGAAAAGAAAAAAATATGAGAAAAGGAAAAACATGGAAACAAAGTCTTTGTAAGTAGGGAAGGATGGAAGGGGTGAAGGGAGGGCAGGGAATAGGGAAAAAAATAAGAACCAAGATAGATCATGTAAAGGTACATGATCGCAATGATGAATGTAACTGTATTGTATACCTAAATGCACCAATAAACTTAATGGAAAAAAATATATATACACCGAGATTAGAAAGACTAGTGGGCAACTAAGCTGCTCATAGGCATCCCCTACCTCTTATACTCCTACTAGATTAAAACATCCCTCAGTTTCTTCTGCTTAGAGGAAAGAATTTTTCTTAATACTGGAGGTTCAGTCAACACTTCAAAGATATCGCCTCTGGCTTCCTGGTTCTTCCCGTTATAGGTATTGAAAGCCCAGTCTTAGTCTGTAGGGCCCCCTTTTTGTAGTACCCACCCCCAGAGCCACAGGGTTTCATTGCTTTTCCTTTCAACCGTAGCTTTGATTTATTCCCATATGCTTGGTCCCTGGAAGTTTCTTCTTCCCACAAACTTATCTACTAAAACAAAGACAAAGTGGTAAAAGAACATACTCTGGAGCCAAGTTGCGGTTACTTGAATGACCTTGGAGAGGATTTTTAACCTCTGTGCATCATTCTTTCTATTTATTGATTGGGGATACTGGTGTTTAATGGATTATTGTGAAGATTAAATGAGTATACATGTCAAGTGCTTAGAATAATTACTGACACATAGTGAATTCAATATAAATATTTGATATTATCACATTTTTGCCTTTGTACTTTTTTTTTTTACTTTATCCACTTTTATTATTTTTTTTTATAACTTGGAGGGTTCCTGACTACATTGATTCGGTCTTCTGTGTTCTTTCATATTCTAATTGGTTGAATAGAAGAAAGAATGAGATCCTCTTAAGAGAAAACTAAGTATAGCAGAATCTCATTTTGAAGTATCTTTTGGTCTGCATCTTGTAACTCCTTCCTCCTGGAATCAGTCAGGAGATGATAAGGAGGAATAAATAACAAGAGAGTTCTGCCCAGCTGGGTTCTCTATTGGATAGTGACTGACAGCTCATCAAGTTAGAACTAATCTTTGGGAGTTTGCACAATGTATCTAGAGCAAGTCTTTCAAACATAACAAAGGCAGTAGTATTAAAACATTTAAACTTACTTTATTTTTTCATGTCTGTCTGCAAGTCTCTGTGTTTATCCTCTCTTATCCATTTCCTCCTTTACTTACAGAAGTTGGTGGATTCCAGTCTGGGCTTTACCACTTTCTGTGGTCCCTTGACCAAATGTTTAAACATTTAGAGATGACACATCCTAATTCTTAAATTGGGATGGACACTTATGTACTATTGCATAAAGTTTTTGTGACAGGGATTGAACTCGCGTCCTTCTGCTTGCAAGGCAGGTGGTGGAACCACTGAGCTAAATCCTCGGCCCACATTCAGTATGTTTAAGGTTACATTATTTACCAGGCACAGTGGTAGATGCCAGAGAGATAGCAATTCCTTCCTGGGTGGGTTTATACATTCATAGTCCCAGTGAGATATTGTCTGGGAAATTCCTAACTTATCATCACCTCCTAACATACTATTATTACTTTTTTTATGAAAATATTTTTCTTGTCCTTTAATCTAAAAAGAGCTGAAAGCAGATGCTTCTCCAAATGTGTTTGATTGTGAATCCCAGAAACAACAAAACATAATTTTGTCATGGATACATTTAACTTTTTCTTTTTTCTTTTCCTGGTAGTTTTGTTTCTTGATCTTTTCATAGGTATTTGAATCTAATCATTAATATACTTCTTCATTTGGGACTATTTGCTCTTTGCTCAAGCATTTCTTTGACATATGAGAAATATACATGTTAGGTGGTTTCATTATTTTCAACAAGAGCAACTGGGGATATAAAATACCTTACATAAAATGAAAAGGAAAAAACATTTCAGAGAAAGTCCCATAGAGATTTTGTATTTGTACAAGTCACAAATTCAATTTTTCAATACTTCTAATGAAAAAATT